TTTTAAAACTACTTAGTAAATTACAATTTCTGAGAAAAACTACACAATTACAGTAATTTGAGTATTTGTAATTAGTGACTTTACACCACTGCTAAATGGTAATATTTCCATTCATATGTGATATTTTCTACGCTCAGCTAGAATAATTAATATTATAAACAGGCACATTTTTGCACCCTTGTATTAAATCTGTTGGCTTTTCTGCTCATTTTGGTGGCCATAATGTATTTTCAACCCTGATATGAGCAACTATGAATATGCAAATTAGCCCCTGCCTCCATTCAAGCACATCAGCTCGAACCTGCAGCGCTTTTCCTTGGTCAGCGCGAAATACTACACATTCTGAAGCCAATATGGGAGCCAATACCTGTTTTAATGCTTCTGAAGAACGACCCAGTCATGTGGAAAAGAAAACACCTCAACAAGCCACATAATTTGTTCTGAAGTTTGCTCGAATCCCTAATCTGAGTATGATAATAAAGCACTGTTTGTCTTAGTATGCACCACTAATAAAGCAAACTAAGGGAGTGTGAGATGGAGGGTGAACTGAGCAAAAGAGGTAATAGATATTTTTAGGAGGACTGGAGGGGGGTTTGACTGAATGAGAGTGAGGACAGATTTATAGACCCCTGTAAAATGAAGCTCTTCTCGAGGTTTAATCCGTGACGCCCATTTAATACTTCACCTGCCTTTATTTGTTGTTCTATAGATTTGTGTGTGTACGTTCGATTGCATGTTTGGCTCAAAGTCAGGCAGTAAAAAGGGTAAACACTACTGTTACAGGTTACAATATACATTTTTGGTTTAGTTGGATATTCCTGATGCTTTGGGATTAGAATAGTTGGTTATAAAAATAATTCCTAGTACTGTATGTATGAATTTCTTTTGGTGGATAATTGTCATGAAGACATTGACTATTAAGAGCAATAACTGTTAATCGATTGTTTTGGGTTCATTTTAATGTCATATTATATTTATGGTCTTAAAGCGATAACTCACCTAAAATAAAAAATGTCATCAGCCTCAAGTGGTTCCAAAACTATTTTAATTTTTTTTTCTTCTGTTGAACACAAAATAATATTTTGATCAATGTTGGAAAACAGGAACCATGGAAATGGGTAGTTTAAAAACAGTTAGTGAACTTTTTAGCATTAGTTATTGTAATAACTTAAGTGAACTTTTTAACTTTTGAATGCATTAATATTGACTTGAACATTTTACATTACAAAATGCATGAACTTAAGTTAACAGTTTACCGTAATGCATTAACTTAAACAAACATTTTAACACTACTTAATGCATTAACATTGACTTAAGTGAACTTTTTAACATTACTTAGTTCACTTAAGATATCACATTTTTACTACTTAATACATTAATATTAACTTTTTAACATTACTAAATACATTAACTTAAGTGAACATTTTAACATTACTTGTTGTACTAACTTTTTCTAATAAGTGCATTTTTAAACTACTTAATGCATTAACATTGACTTAAGTGAACTTTTTAACAATGCTTAATGCATTAATATTGACTTAACTGAACATTTTAACATTACTAAATGCATGTACTTAAGTGACTTTTTAATCTACTTAATGCATTAACATTGACTTAATTGAACTTTTTAACTACTAAATATACTGACTAAAGTGAACTTTTTATTAGTACTAAATGTGTGAACTTAAATGATCTTTTAAACTTAATGCATTAATATTGACTCAAGTGAACTTTTTAACATTACTAAATGCATTAACGTAAGTGAACGTTTTAATATAAAGCTTTAACATTAACTTAAGTGAATTTTTTAATACTACTTAATGGCCTAACGTTGACTTAAGTAAACTTTTTCACATTACTAAATGCATTAATATAGACTCAAGTTAACTTTTTAAGTCAACATTAATGTATTATGTAGTTATGTGAATTTATAAAAGTACTTAATGCATTAACATTAACTTAAGTGAACTTCTTAACAATACTTAATGCATTAACATTGACTTAAGTGAACTTTTTAACATTACTAAATTAATTAGGTGAACTTTTTAACATTACTAAATTAATTAAGTGAACTTTTAAACATTACTAAATGCATGAACTTAAATGATCTTATAGTTAATGAATTAATATTGACTTAAGTGAAATTTTAAAAGTGCTTAATGCATTAACATTAACTTAAATTAACTTTTTAACAATACTTTGCATTATTATTGACTTAACTTTTAACATTACTTAATGCATTAACATTGACTTAGGTGAACCTTTTTAACATTACTAAATGCATGAACTTAAATGATCTTTTAAACTACTTAATGCATTAACATTAACTTAAGTGAACTTTGTAACAATACTTAATGCATTAATATTGACTTAGGTGAACTTTTAACATTACTTAAAGTATTAACATTGACTTAAGTGAACATCTTAACATTAGTAAATGCATGGGTGTTTAAACTTGGTCCTGGAGGGCCGGTGTCCTGGAAAGTTAAGTTCCACCCCTAATCAAACACACCTGAACCAGCTAATCAAGCTCTTACTAGATATACTAGAAACTTCCTGGCATGTGTGTTTAAGTAAGTTGGAGCTCAACTCAGCAGGACATTGAGACATTGACACAGTGTGGACACCCCTGACTTAATGCATTGACTTGAGTGAACTTTTTAACATTACTTAATGCATTAACATTAACCAAAGTTAACTTTTATTAGGACTTCATAATGTATTAACATTGATTTAAGTGAACATTTTCATATTCTTAAATGCATTAACTTAAGTAAACTTTTTAACATAATGCATTAACATAAAGTGAGCTTTTTAAGGTTTGTTACATCTCAACATCTTAGTCTATACTTAATAGTTTACACTTTCCCCAAGTACCAAACAGGAATCAGGACACTCTCTGGAATCTTCCATTGGAGTCCACTGCTTCTTCCACAGACCACTAAAAACAAGCCAATGCTGTTTACCAGCTATAAATAGGTGTATCAACAAGATGCACATCAACCGCTTTTGACGCACACAGATGATGGAAGACGCTATCTGTGATTGTGTAGATATACACTTGCATATATAAATCACATGTATCAATACTAATTAGCATCTTAATTGATCGGTAGATGTGAAGCAGATCAAGCGAGAGAAATGTTTTTTTTTTTTGCACACTCATGAACTGTGGCTTCTCTCCTCACATTGCCCTCTCTGTCCCCAAAGAGGAACTCAAAGCGTTCATTTATTTTTTTTTTTTACGATATTTCACCAAACAAATAATAAAAATAAATCAATGTTAACCCCAAACGTCTACACGTATATTTAGGGGCCTTCATTCATCCAGCAGTCACCAATCTCACCAGGTCAATATTTGGACAGCTAATTTTGAGAAGTCGTCCTCTCTGTTGTGAAAGAGAATGTGTTTTAGGGAAATGTGTGAACGCAGTCATCTTTAGCATCACCCTGCTGAACTTGGTGTCACCCGACCTTTTCCGTTAAGGGGTTTTCTTTTTGTTGTTGTTGGATTTTTTAAAAACATAGTAAGAGTTTTTCACTCCCAAAGATCATAATGCATAACAGGGAAGATTACGTCAAACATTGAATAAAAATGCTTTTTTCAAAGCAATTCATGGGACCTTTAAAAATCTTGAGTTGTCACTCATTTAATACTCTAAATCAGGGGTGCCCAAACTTTTTTGTATGAAGGGCCAAAAACCAAATATCATTAAGAGCTGTGGGCTGAAGGCAAATGTACTAAACTATATTTCATTAAAGTTGCGATGGGTAATTTCCTAATTTACTTCATAATATTTCAAAATAAAAAGAAAACATTACCTTAAATTGTATTAACTAATGCAGTATAACTTTTATTGCAATCAAAACAAAGAATCACATTTATAACACAGTAGAGTTCAATGCTGAATACGCTAGTCAAGCAGAATCTGTCTTTGACTTGATTTGCTCACCAAAGTGTCTGCGTTGTGAGGTGACAGTATGCACATTTAAACAAAATCTCATTCATTTACACCATTTAAATTGAAACATTTAATTTTAGTTAGCTTTTAACAATAAAACAAACACAGACAGACAGGTAGACAGATAGACAGATAGATAGACAGACAGATAGATAGATAGATAGATAGATAGATAGATAGATAGATAGATGGATGGATGGATGGATGGATGGATGGATGGATGGATGGATGGACGGACGGACGGACGGACGGACGGACGGACGGACGGACGGACGGACGGACGGACGGACGGACGGACAGACAGACAGACAGACAGACAGACAGACAGACAGACAGACAGACAGATAGATAGATAGAAGTAAAGATATATAGATAGATAGATAGATAGATAGATAGATAGATAGATAGATAGATAGATAGATAGATAGAAGTAAAGATAGATAGATAGATAGATAGATAGACGGATAGATAGATAGATAGATAGATAGATAGATAGATAGATAGATAGATAGATAGATAGATAGATAGATAGATAGATAGATAGATAGATAGATAGATAGATAGATAGATAGATAGATAGATAGATGGATGGATGGATGGATGGATGGATGGATGGATGGATGGATGGATGGATAGATTAGAGTTCTTGAGGTTTTTTGGCACAACTTAATTATTTAATTTTCAATCCACTTAGATTTCCAAAAACAATTAAGGTAACTCAATTGATTCAAGTTGGGACAATATGAAGGAGTTGTGTGGAACTCAGCTTTTTTATAGTGAATAAGTTATGTTTGTTTTGGGATTTAAACTGCAGTTACATTACAAATCAAATAAATAGATAAATGACTGTTTAAAATGAATAACATTCCACTGTATTGTTGTTTTCAAAGTTATGTCTGCAATTCAAAAAATATCCAATGAAATGAATAGGTCTTAGAAATGTAATAGCCCAAAACTCCTAATTCTGTGGAGACTAATGAGTACTTATAATTCTCAGTCTTCATGGTTTGGTTCTTTTTCCTCTTCTCTGTCCTCTAGATTTTACCACAGATGAATGTGACGCTGGACAGTTTGGGCTTTGACTCTGAGCTGCAGGCCTTGTACATGGCAGTGAATTCAGGGAAAACGGGTCGAAAACGCAAACACTCTCCTGACAGCAGCCCTGCAGCAGAAGAAAATCACATCACTGATCATCAACACATCTCTGAGTCCACAGGTCACTGCCTCATCTACACTGAGTATAAATGAGCATCAATCCAAGAATCAATAGGAGCTACGAATTTGATGACGCAATCCAGCGACAATTCAAATGACCATGTGGAAATATCAAAACAGTTTTTTTCTGCCTGGTTTTATTATTGAGACACGCTGTGTGCAAAATTGCCGCTACAGATTGTTTACGTTTGCTTTGAGGAATCATTTCAGAAACCTGGATAGTGAAAGTGTCACGGGTGGATGGTGTCAAGCTCCGGTGGCATCTTCATTGTCGTTCATTCTGACCTTATTACAACTGACAACCGACCAAAAAAATATATAATTGCTTAAAACATTTATATAAATCCAAGAGTTTCATACAAGAGCACACGGCATAAAAATGTTAATACATGCATTATTTTTCTAACATCATTTACTCAGCTTTCAACGGATTTTTAATAGATTTAGCACACCATACAGTACGCAGTAAACACAAAATTATTATGAATTATTTAATAGTGGTTATTAAATAACGCTTAAAATGCTAGTTCACCCAAAAACAAATGTTTACTCACTCAAGTGGTCCTAAACGTTTATGAGTTTCTTTTATTTTGAAACTGAAGTTATTTTGAAGAAAGTTTTGAAAAAAAAAAGCTGGTAACCATTGACTTTCTTAGTAGGAAAGGCAATACTATAAAGGTGAATGATTACAGGTTTCCAGCATTTTTCAAAATACCTTCTTTTGTGTTAAAAAAAAAATAAAGACAGTTAAACAGATTTGGAACAAGTGATGGTCAAGTAAATGATGGCAGGACTTTTCATATTTTGATTTTTCATTTACCGTCCCTCTAAATTTTATTTAGTTTCACCAGACTCATCAGTATTCCCACTGAACAATTTTATGATGCTTTTTGTATTATTTATGGGTCATTTTAAATGTTTTTCTATATTAGTATGTTTACATGCGATGGGAATGGCATGGGGATGAATGATTTCTCTAAGTTCTCATTTTGGGTGTATTTTGTTTCTCTTGTCTGTTGTGTAGGTGTTGGGCCTTCACTGGCTTCTCAAGAGCACAATAAAGCCAAAGAATCTGGAAGATCTCAAGTGGCGAACAGTCAACAGGTTAGCTCTTTGTCTTCCCTTCAACGTTGTTTCATCATTCATTTTCCTTCGTTTTAGTCTCTTATTTGTCAGGGGTCACCACAGCAGTATGAACCACCAACTATTCCAGCATATTTTTTTACGCAGCAAATGTCGTTCCAGCTGCAACCCAGTACTGGGAAAGTTGTTTCATACTTACTTTCCTGAATTGCCATAGTAAATCTAAGTAAGAAATTTAATGCATTCTTTAGCATCATGAACTCTGTGTTTAAGAGTAAATGCCTTTTCACATCCTCCGTGCGGCAAGAACTCAACTTCACTTAGCTTCAGGCTGGTAAGCTTTACCCACTATGTTTGCTTTTAGAGGTTTCGAAGTTAAACAAACAAAAATAAAAGCTTGTGTTTTTTTCTGAGCTATTAAAATACAAATATAAGAAGCCAATAAAATGTTACCATTTTAATTATGATTAAAGGAGACCTATTATGCCCCTTTTTACAAGATGTAAAATAAGTCTCTGATGTCCCTAGAGTGTGTGTGTGAAGTTTCAGCTCAATACACCACACAAATAATGTTTTATAACTCTTTGAAACTGCTTCTTTTAGGCTTTGATCTAAACCGTGTCGTTTTGATGACTGTCGCTTTAAATTCAAATGAGATTGTACTCACTTCAAAAGTGGGCGGAGCTACAAATGCTTGTGTCAGCATAGTGGCACATTCAAAAACAAGACTAATGTCCTATGCTAATGAGGGAAAGATTGTCACTAATGGGCGGGACTTTCTCCTTCTGATGACTCGTACAAAGGGAGAATGTCAATCAAAGTGTTTCTACAGAATGTTTTAATCAAGTATCATTATAAACAATAAAACTAATTAATGTTTAGCATTAGAACCTGGCTATATTCACACATTTCTGCCAAACAAATGTGTGTAAACCCCTTATAAAAGTGATTTTTGCATAATAGGTCCTTAAAGTAACTTCCAGATTAAAATTAATTAAGTTTTAAGAAAAGTATGCACAAAAATCCAAGTAGATGTCTATGTGGTTGCCATTTAAAGGGACAGTTCGCCCACAGTTTTACGTTTTCAGTTAAATCTACTCTCCCTGTAGGCGATTTATTTTCATTAGTAGGACAATGTTGGTTTTTAGTTGAAACATTGGTCCTTGGTAATTTATAAGAAGTCAGTGCTTGCCTGCACATAAACTTTGCTTCCGTTGAAACGCATATAACACCTACAGTTGAAGTCAAAATTATTCGCCCTCTTGTGAATTTTTTTAAATATTTTCCAAATGATGTTTAACAGAGCAAGGAATTTTCACAGTTTTTTCCTATAATAGTTTTTCTTCTGGAGAAAATCTTATTTGTTTTATTTCGGCTTGATTAAAATCAGTTTTACATTTTGAAAAAGCATTTTAAGGTCTGTATTATTAGCCTCATTAAGCAATATTGTTTTTCGATTGTCTAGAACAGGGGTGTCAAACTCAATTCCTGGAAGGCCGAAACCCTGCACAGTTTAGTTCCAACCCTGCTCCAACACACTTAACTGTAGGTTTTAAACAAGCCTGAAGGACTCAATTAGTTTGATCAGGTGTGTTTAATTAGGGTTGGAACTAAACTGTGCAGAGCTGCGGCCCTTTTGGAACTGAGTTTGACACCTGTGGTCTAGAACAAACCATCGTTTGTACAATGACTTGCCTAATTAACCTAGTTAATGCTTTAAATGTCACTTTAAGCTGTATAGAAGTGTCTTGAAAAATATCTAGTAAAATATTATGTACTGTCATCGTGGTGAAGATAAAATAAATCCATTATTAGAAATGATCTATGCAAACTAATTTAAATCTATTATGTGTAGAAATGTGTTGAAAAAATCTGCTCTGTTAAACAGAACTTATAGGGTAAAATATACAGGGAGGCTTATAATTCAGGAAGGCTAATAATTCTGACTTCAAGTGTATAACGCAAATAAAAACACATAAACCGGAATGATGTATAAAACTTTTGTGAATAAAGCACCTTTCCATCAACTGAATCAAAGAGAACAAATCATAACACACAAAACCCTACCCATTTGTACACATACATTTTTATCCACATTTCCAAAATAAGCATATTTTATTTGATATTCCAACATAAAAATAAAAATAGGGGGATAGTAACATAGATTTTTAGAGTAAAAAACATACAGGCAAAGCTAAAATAATACCCTGGGCTCTTGACAATACATTGAGGCATTGAGAAACTGAACATTATTTACAACATTATTAACAGCGATATCAGAAAGGGTTTGTTGTTTCTATATTATTCCAAGGTAATAATGTTGTAAATAATGTGATTGGTTTATTTCAGAAGACCTCAGTGCATCTTCAGAAGCCTTGGGTATTAATTTTGGTTTGCCTTTAAATTATTTTTTACTCTTAAAGTGTGCCAGTTGCATTTTATGAATCACAAAGGACCACAATTTCAGCTAAAACCCTTCTTTAATGTTTTGCTCTAGAAAACAAAACGTCTTTGGCATTTTAGATGGCTTAAAGGTGAACAAATTACAAATTTGGTTTACAGATTAATCTGTTACTTCGTTCTGAATGCTGCTTTCAGACTCTCCCGTTATCATCTACTGCTGGGTCTGAGGATCGGTCCACCTCTCGGGCCAAGAAGAAGAAAGCAGTGGGACTTTTTCGGTGACAGACAGTTCATGCTTCGGAATCAGAATAACACTATACATATGGACACTTATAGTTCCTTTATGCTTTATAAACATTTTTAATCCTTTTAGGTTGGATTTTTAAGGGATGTTGGACATTTTAATGTTGTTTTTATTTTGTATGCCCGTCTTAACAATAATGTCTTAAAGATAATGAATAAAATATTGCTTTTATTATTACAAGTTCTCTTGGTCAGTCGATGATGGACTCTAGATGTGGTAAAGCTACAGATATATGATGGCAATTCATGTAAAAGATTCATTTAGATCTCAAACCTCAACACTCTGCATATTTAGTACATTTCACTTGCTGCTTTAGAGGTTTGTTCCATTCTACTGTAAGTGCCCTGCAAAGTTTTTTCTTGTCTTAAAACTTATTTATTTGTTATCTGTTTTGCTGCAGTTTGTATGATTGACCTGCTATAGTGACCTACTCACCTACAGGTTAGGTATTACAGTCCAGATTCAAAGAATTGGATATTTATTTATTTTTTTTACCCCAGTCCCCCTCTCCAGATTGATGCAAATGCAGGTTGCCAGATTAACGACACCAACAAGAGTGAAACAAAAGTTAAAGTATTCATGTGAGTACATTATGAACGAAGTCACTGCAAACATGGGTAAATGTCCACCGGGGGATGTGAAATACAGTTAAAGCCAGAAGTTTACATACACTCTAAAAAGGAACATAACCATATTTTTAAACAATGTCTGATGTTAAATCACATTAAATATTTACTCTTTTAGGTCCGTTAGGATTACCTAAATGATTTAATTTGCTAAATGCCGGAACATTGAGAATTAATTTTTTTTTTTTTGAGAATTTTTAAAATTAATTTCTAGACAGTGAAAAGTTTACATTCATTTCCTTGGTATTTTTTAGCTTTGCTTTTAAACTGTATACCTTTGGTCAAATGTTTTGGGTATCCTTCCACAAGCTTCTCACTATAGTTTAAAGGAGTTTAGCCCCATTCCTCCTGACATAATTGGTGTAACGGAGTCAGATTTGCTGTTTGTCTTGCTCGCACAAGCAACTCTGCCCACACATTTTCTATAGGATTGAGATCCGGGCTTTGTGATGGCCACTCCAAAACATTCAGTTGTGCTTAAAGCAGATTTTAACTAACTTGGCAGTATGCTTAGGGTCATGGTCTGTTTGGAAGACCCATTTGTGGCCAAGTTTTAATTTCCTGGCTGATGTCTTGAGATGTTGCTTCAGTATTTCTACATAATGTTCTTTCTTCATGATGCCATCTATGCTGTGAAGTGGACCAGTCCCTCCTGCAGCAAAATAGCCCCACAACAAGATGCTGCCACCCCCATACTTCACAGTTGGGATGGTGTTCCTAGGCTTGTAAGCTTTCCCCTTTGTCCTCCAAATGTAACACTGGTCATTATGGCCAAACAGTTCAATCTTAGTTCCATCAGACCACAGGACATGTCTCCAAAAATTATTATTATTTTTCGCAGTGTGATTTAGCAAATTGTAATCTGGCTTTTTTGTTTATTCTGGCTTGTTGATTTTCCCATGTTGTCACACAGGAAAGCAGTGTGTTTGAGGTTTTCCTTAAATACTATTCTACAGTTGTGTCTCCAATGAACTCAAATGTTGTCCATTAGCCAATCAGAAACTTGTAAAACCTTGACATCATCATCTGAGCTTTTTCAGAGGCAGAATAATCTTATTGTATATAAACTTGACTTTCAAGAAAAGTTATAACAATTTCTCAAAAAACATCTGTCATTATTCTGCTATTAAGCATAACAGAAACAAATGTGATAATCCTAACTTACCTAAAAGAGAAAAAGTTTAGTACCATTACCATCTGACTTTTTTTTGGTTATGTGTCTTTTTATACAGTGTATGTAAACTTCTGCTTTCAACTGTAAGTATTTTGACTGCTCACGCATATATTGCGGCGGCCTTCATGACTAAAAGGGAATACACAGATTATTTCCACCAAGGCAACTTGAAGTGCTGAAATTTAATTGGGTAAATTGGCAGTGGGCGGAGTTACACAGACCAAAACAACGAAAGACATTCCGACGCATTTTTTCTTCCGACGCATCATTGCTTTTCAGATAAACAAGTATTTGTTCATTTAGCATGTTTTGTAAATCTCTGCAAACATATTATTGTATTTTTATGCTTTAGAAGAGTCAAAAATGTTCAGCGTAGACCTGTTAAGCACTTTGGTCATCTGGTCTGCATTTTTCCTGTGTTTTACACCAACACCATTGCTGTCTATGAAAGATGAGAGCTCTCAGATTTCATCTAAAATATCTTAATTTGTGTTCTGAAGAGGAACAAAGGTCTTTAAGTGCTTGAAATGACTTAAGGGTGAGTAATTGATAACCTTATTTTTATTTTTAGGTCATCTAACCCTTTAAATTTGAGAAATACGTTTACACCATTTTTGTAAATTTGCACAGGAATGACAGGATCGTGTTTTACAGAATATCAAGAAAGAAGACAAGTCAGGAAAGGTTAGTAGCATTAGATATTAAGCATTAGCCTAGTTTGAGGCGAGTAAATGGGATTTCCTTGAGCACAAATAAATGTTCTGCTTCATTTTCCGGGTCATGTTCCATAAAATTGTCTTTTGGATGGGCGGAATCTCAGACCACAAACCCAACACACATTTTCCTCTGATGTCTTTTTGGTGGTTCCTTTTGTTACAAAAAACGTTTAATTCTGTATTTGTTTTCATTTTATATTCCTAAAAACGTTTTGGTTAACCATTTTACCTTTAAACCAGATGCATCTTTATTTTCTAATGCGACTTGTACAAATATATGGAGCGGATAATGCCAATAGTCCAGTCTGACTCTGCAAGACTACTTTAAGATCTGCTGTATTAAATATGAAGTGAGCGATGCTTTAAATCTATAGTTGTAGACTGATAATCTTTTTTTTTTTTTAACCGTAGTCTTTTTGCCGTCCGCATATGATTTTCTGAAGGCTGGCCAAAACAGCCTCTAATTAAAATGCAGTCAGGAATACCAGTAACATCTTCAAGCTGTCAACAGTGCGGTCACAGCAGACCAGAAAGAAATGTCTGCGCCACTGAAGGAGACACACAACTGTCATGATTTTCCTACCAGTATCGTTTGGTAATGGTTGTGGCATTTAACTGGTGATTCGTCTTCAGTGGAGAAGCCATTAGTGTTATTTTCAAGACATTAGAGTATATTTTTTGTTTGTAGAATTTAGAAAATATATTTGTCACACAAACCCATTTCATCTAAAAATGTGGTCACAAATATAATAAAACCAAAGAAATAATAAAAACACCAAACCTTTAATAATTGAAACTATTTTTATGGCTTAACTTTGCACATTAGTAACAGTTTTTTTTTTTTTGAAAATAATAATAATAAAAAATACATATATATATATACAAAAACTATAACTAATTTTCAATATGTTTTTAGTAGCCCTGTCAAAACCTTAGTGACTCTGTAAAAGCATGTGTGTGCGCGCGCGCTGATGTGTTTGCACTCCACGTCTGCTGACGTACCGCTGTCAGGCAGGCAGTACATCAGTATTGCAGGACTGGACACTTCAGGGTCCGAGAGAGCAGACCTGTAATGCGCCTCCTGTTTGTCCGCGTCTTGGCAGCCGCCGCGCGGTTGCGGCACTGGGGGAGAAGAGCAGGGCTGATAAAGCGCGTCCGCCTGAAGGGGTGGAGAGGAGGGCAGAGACAGACAGAGGGCAGGACTGCCAGGGTGCGGCTGCTTCAGTAGCATCTGAGCTCGGGTCACTTCCATTTCCACAGTGCACATGTCAAACAGCCGAGCCGGGAGCCAGAAACCGCTGCGGGGACGCGCACTCTGACCGCGGCTCTGCGCAACCAGGATCCGCCTGCAGGCGACTCTCAGCGCGCGTGCCAAGATAAACGGAACTTCTCTATTTATTCCCCCTGTCTCCGCTTTGACTGAGAGAAAGCGACTTTTACAGACCTGAGAGGAGGACCGACGGTCTGGCAAGCGAAGTCACCATCGACCGAGTCCTGGGTCTGTCGGGGTGTCTTTCCTTGCGCAAAGGGATGGCGAGAGCCAGGTGCCCTAATAAACTGGTCCTCCTCCCCCTCCGGTGATCTTGCACGGGGTCTGAAGCTGAGATTGGGGGGAGGAGGGTCGCTTAATCGTTATCTTCACCGTCTTTGACACTCCATCTTTCGGAGTGCCCGCTGGCACCGGTTGGCATGAGACTCTCCACGGCAGCGGCGCTCCTCACCGGCTTCATCTTGGCTTTCTCGCCGGCGTACGACGGCTGTGGACCGGGCAGAGGTTACGGCAAGAGACGGACTCCGCGGAAACTCACGCCTCTCGCCTATAAGCAGTTTAGTCCGAACGTAGCCGAGAAAACGCTGGGGGCGAGCGGGAGATATGAGGGGAAGGTCACCCGCAGCTCCGAGCGCTTTAAAGAGCTGACGCCAAACTACAACCCGGACATCATCTTCAAGGATGAGGAGAACACAGGTGCGGACCGCATGATGACACAGGTGAGGCATACGCACGAGCAACAGACAAAGTCGGCCAAAATATTTTTATTTATTACTTCGATGGGGTTTTATTACAAAATGCTTTATATACACTTGCAGTGAAATGATAATTCTAATCCACACGGTGTGGTTTTCTTTCTTCTGTGCACATTAAAGATTGTTTCTTTAGTAAAGTCTTTACAATTTAAGTGACTGACGAACTGTTGCAAAACTGAACTGATCTCATTCTAAAATATGACAACAGTTACATTTTTTATTTTAAAGTTATGCCTTTAAGTGTCTTTATCAATGTCATGATATAGTGCTGCCAGGTTTGAGCCTATATTTTTAAAGATTTTATTACTAATTACTCATTTTTACAATCACTGCTGCTGTGTAATTTACATTGCTTGAATGTGCTGCACATTAATTCAGTGTAGTGCTGCTTAAAGTGATAGAAACTGAAAATTCTGTCATCATTTACTCACACTTCACTTGCTCCAAACCTGTTTGAGTTTCTTTTCTCCGTTGAACACAAAAGAAGATATTCTGGTGACCAATTATTTCCATATATTTGTTTTTCCTACTATGGGATCAATGATTACCAGTTTTCTGCTTTCTTCAATCTGTCTTCTTTTGTGTTCAGATCAAGAAATAAACTCACAAAGGTTTGGAACCACTTGAGGGATAGTAAATAGTGAGTAAATCTTCATTTCATGGGTGAACTACCCTTTAAAATTAAGTTTAATGGATAGACTTCCATTCAAAGTGAAAGTAATATAATTCAAATAAACTGCAGGGATTTCTGTTAATGTGATTTACTTGAGAAGAGTTTTTCTTACACTTGTTAATAGTCTTGTTTCATTTTCTATAGACAGGAAAATAAAAAGCTTTTATGTCCAAAACAAAGCTTTTTGCTGAGCTTGAAAGGTTCCTGGAGGCACTTTTTTGGGTTCTTCACATTGCCACACCGGCGGAACCCTCTAAAGAACCTCTAGGCACCATTTCAAAAGGGGCAGTTCTCTGAGGAACTTCAAGGGTTTCTGGAGGAACCCTCTTATTAAGAATGACCAGGTCTAATAACAATAACTTATTATAATTATTGCAGCAGTTGTTGTTGTAATTATAATTGTTTTGAATGTCAAAATTTAAGAGTCTAATGAGATTAAGTGACAGAAAATTGAATTAGTCCCCTATAATAATTATCATTTTCATAATTGTACATGCCTGTGCATGTTTTTGTCTCTTTTCTGTGGCCCATTTGTATTTTAACCTTTAAAATTACTTTTACATTTTCATATTTTTTCACAATTTCCCAGTCAGTCTCCTAACAAGTTACCAATTAGACTCTAATCAATGATATTATTTTGTGTTCACAGTGAGTCACACACAAAAAAGAAAAACACACATTACATTTCAAATCATTCAAAAAGCACAAATAACTAAGCAAATGAACATGCATCTCATTTTCTGGTCGCTACAATTGTCCACCCCCCTACCCTCTCTGCAGGAACCATTATATAAGTTTACAGATCTTACAGTAACTTTTTTGGAACTTAAGTTCCTCTAATAACATTCAAAGTGCTTTAAAGTCTTAGTATAAAGAAACAGTGACTCCAGAACCTCAGTATTGACAAAAAGTACTTGTAGGATCCTAATCACTGCAAAAGGGTACAGCAAGTTCTGCAAAGACTGTCCGTGGTTCCTTGAGGAACTGCTTTTTGAGAGATAGAGCTCAGAGGCACTTTAAATACATTCTGAAGTTCTTTGAGTACTCAACAGGGTATTTGAAGCACCTTACGTTTTACAGTGTAATTTGCCCATTGCATGCGTATGTTGATATGATTTTATCACTGGGAGTTCATGAGTAGCTTTTAAATGTGTGACGGAGTCAAAACAGTGTCAAGAGCTCTCTTTATCACACTGGTGAAGGAAGATCTGCTTCAAGATGCATTTGCAACGGCAGTATTAAACTAAACAACATTACGTGTGTTTACTCATAAGTGTGCTTCATCATTTTGTAGTATAATGGTCGCGTTTTGACATCATATGCTGTTTCTGGTCCATTTAGATGTCTCTGGTCACATTATTTTAATCAAACTGCACAACAGTAAGTGTGAGACTTCTTATTTAGTGTTCAGTCTTCGCTTATATGAATAAACCGCAATAACAGAGCATGCACCAGAGTTTGTTTGAATGTTTTTTTTATTTTTATCTTTTTACCATTTTATCTCTATTGTGCATCGAACAAATAGTCCAATATACTCAAATCTTAATGTTTCATGACAGAAATGTGCATGCAACACTGTCCAGACATCAAAATAAAACAAAAACAGGATTCCAGAAGATAATAAGAGACATTTTTATTCTTCATAGCCATAATGTTAATGAGCAATTGCAAGCAAATGTCAACCATGCCATGAAAAAAAAAAGTTTTTACCAAAATTCGAAACTCGTTTCTAAGTTTATTTGTGTAAGCAAGTATTTTACAGTACTTCAGAAATACTCAAGAATGTCTCTCAATGTTTTCAAACTATTCTATTTGATTTACCAAAGTCACACAAGTGGCAATTTCACAACGTTCACATCCATAACAGAGAGGCGTCACATCAATAACGGCACTTTTTCCTCATAAATGCTAAAATGTCAAATAAAATAAAATCAGTCAAATTTGTTCTATACAGAGACAACTCTCATCTTTTTGATTAGCATTATTTCTTTGGGTTGTGCAGTTTAATTACTACAAAGAATGCTGTATACCTGTAAACTCGCCTACTTTTTTGGGCACATCCATACCGCATGTTTATTTACTTCATTTGAAGTACAACACATCTTTATAGACTGATATTTTTTTATCCCAAAACTCTGTGATCAGTTGTTTTGGACAATATAAACAAAAGTTTCAAAATAAGGTTAACAATGACTTTCCCTGTGAACTTATGTCTTGAGTTTTTACTGAAAATGTCACATCCATAACGCTGGAATTGCTCTACTCATTACAGTTCAATAGATGTGTCAGAAATGCATCTCTTTGCTGCAGATCTTTGTTTGTACATATTTCCTGCTGCTGCTTTTACACCTTTACGCAACTGTAAGCTTGTATGTTTATAAAAGTACCATCACACATAATTACGCACATACAGCAAACAAATTTAGCCCAGCACACAACACTGTTTTGGTTATTCTGAAGTCTCTAGAGGTGAATGCTAAGTAAGCTAGGGCTAAACTTTTTTTTGGGCCTGACCAGATTATCTAAGACAACTGAACAGCCAATATGAACACAGAATGACGACAGTTCATGTATCAGTGACAGTTCTATGTTATGATATTTAACATATACTGCACTATTTGTAATGCTATTATTCAATTTAACAGTGCAGTGCCCATTTTATTTGTGCCACTTTATAGATGTGTTCATGTTATTTTCTGAAATTCTGGTCGTTTTTGACTTTCATCCAAAGTGACTTGACATAACAGTGACAGATTTGAAATAGTGGTTTATTGTTAGAATATTTACTTTATGGTTTATGGCGATCTGGGAAAATGCCTTCATAAATAATCTGTTCTTACATCAGAAAACCCCTTTTAGTCCGTTCAGATTGGCATTTTTGAAATGATGCCAAATGCTCATATTTCCTGCGGCTGCTTTTACACCTTCACGCAATACTTCATATGTTGTTAAAAGTACATCACACACATACAACAAACAAATTTAGCCCAGCACACATCACTGTTTTGGTTGTTCTGTATAGGTATCTTTAGGTGAAAGCTAAGTAAACTAGAGCTAAAATTTTTGAGCTCTGACCAGATTAGCAAAGAAAACTGCTAATGTGACCACAAAATGACGACAGCTATGTTAGATTTTTAGTTTAACTCTGTTTTTTATTTAAATATGTTAGTCAGAGAGCCACAGCATCAGATACACAGAATCATTACACATCAACTGCTCCAATGTGGTGGTAGAATACAATTTTGCTCACGTTTTCTTTCTCTCTGAATAAAACAATATAATTACATATTCATGCATTAAGGAATAAAACAAAAACAAAACAACAACAACAACAACAACAACAACAACAACAACAGTACAGAGAATAAATGAATACAAATACTCAAAGGGTATAACAGTAGAAAATAAAATATATATTAAAAATAATAATAAAAAAATAAAAAAACACTCTCCATTCATAACTATGCCAGGGGCAGGGAAAATAAGTTAGCTATATACTTGCATACATATACACATACATATATACATGCTTATTTATTTTTCATTTTTATTTTAAAGTGTAAGAGGAAGGGTTGCTAGATAGTGTCAAATTTTTCAGAATTACGCTATGTTAGATTTTGAACATATATTGCACTATTTATTCAATATAAAGTACAGTGCCTATTTTATTTGTGCCACTTTATAGATGTGTTCATGTTATTTTCTGAAATTCTGGTCATTTTTGACTTTCATCCAAAGTGACTTGACATAACAGTGACAGATCTGTAATAATGGTTTATTGTTAGTATATTGACTTCATGGTTTATGGCGATCTGGGAAAATGCCTTCATAAATAATCTGTTCTTACATCAGAAAACCCCTTTTAGTCCTTTTAGATTGGCATTTTTGAAATGAAGCCAAACGCTCATATTTCCTGCTGCTTCCACCTTTACACAATTTGATTTGATTTGATTTATTTTTGAGCAAAAATATCATACATAAAATATCATAAACAAAAAGAACACATTTCAACATGATTCGAAAATGGAGTGGGATGAAGCACAAGCTTATTATTTTCCCACTCCATTTCCACATACATCATCTGCTATTACCTAAACTTATCTCTTCTTTTACTTATCTCTTCTTTTTGCATAAAAACATATTTTATAATATTGGCATCTTTGACATATGTTTGATTCCACATTCATATGTTAAAAGTACATCACACACATACAACAAACAAATTTAGCCCAGCACACATCACTGTTTTGGTTGTTCTGTATAGGTATCTTTAGGTGAAAGCTAAGTAAAC